GAGGTTACGAAAGGCCATGGCACTCTGGTTGACCCGAGAGGGCACGTGACAAGCTAAGTCCACAAAGGGGCCCAAAGTGGGGGCTAGGGGTGGTCACGTGGTCAGGGTCCAGATCCTGCTCGAGGATTCTGAAAGGTGGTCGTGGCCAAGGGCGGAGCCAGCCACACCGCAAAAAATATAAGCCGGGTCCCCCAGAGGACCGGCGTTGTTGTTCAACCTGAAGAAACGTTCGTCTACGTTCTACCAAGTCTACAACATGTGGAACTGGACCCGAGCTGTGGTCCCGGTCCGTAGTAGCTCGTTACGTTGTAATTAGTGCAGTTAGCCTGGTGGTCACCACCACAGGTTGTTATTCTGTTAAGGGGCAGTTACCCCGTGTGTTGGTGTTAAATAAATGTGTTGCCTCCAAGTGTACGTCTGCGACTCAGTTGAACTCACTACACATACATTTCACATGAATGCCATGTAAGTGTGGATCACTTGTCAGCAGGTCATTGGAATGATCCAGGTGTCAAGGGATGAATGACTGAGATGTTTGACAGATGCACCAGCTGTGCTTCACACTGTATTGCTGCATTTTAGGCACCCGGCGTTCCACCCATTCATGTGAGCGTTGCTCCTCCGATCTCACTGTTGTTGCAGAGCAAATATCTTCAACTGCCCCGCAGCATATATCACGGGCCTCCTCCACAGAGGCTGATCATGACACTCCTGGTACCAGTCATCAGCAGGTGTGATCACCTCCACATCCTCCAATCTCTTCTCAAGCCAATGCCATGCCTGTTTAGCTCGTAACACCTGGACTAACAGAAGATGCTTGAGCATGCTGTCTGTTTATGTGGGATTCATGACCCAACCAATGCAGCTTGGCCTCCCAAAGAAACTCGCTGATTATGTTCTGTACTGATATTTTAGGGATCTGTAAGGTTCTAATACAATTTTGTTTGGTTCAATAGAGGGGATCATAGGATGGCAAGTCTTAATTATAAGCCAGAACAGACAGTCCTTTAAGTAAGTTAATATTTTGCATCCACAGAGAAAGGAGTAATATCTGTGGCCAAGAAGACTCACAGCTTTGTTTGTTCGTTTATTTCTAAATCCTCTCGTCTTGGTGAGGGTTGTAGCGGCAGCACATTTAGTAGGGCAGTCCAGACTTCCCTTTCCCTGGCGACAGACTCTGGATCTTCCTGGGGAATTCCCAGGCATTCCCAAATCAGCCAAGCGACATATCCCCACCAGCATATACTTGCCTGGGCCCCGGGGACTTCCCTCAGTGGGACGTGCCCGATAGAGTTCCAGGGGCAGTCTATTGGGGGGCCTCGTTACAGATATTGTATATTGATATCACTCGTGGAATGAGGCCTGGTGGCTCAGTGACCCACGTAACCCATTTGGACCCAGCCTGGAATGGCTGCGTGGCACCGACCTGTGCACCCACCATCCACAGTACGACGAGTGAGAGGCGGGTGCGATGCCAGAATAGAAGGGAGAGGGATGGTCTAGACTTTGGTGATGGACACTCAGCTTTGTATGGCGCAAAAGTCCAGGCAGCTTCCATGCAGTGTTACACAGTATAATGAAAGAATGCTGCTCGACTAATTTAAAGTGAGACTTTGGCTGCCAAACCAGAGCTGGTCGTGAACACATTAACCAGGCATGGGAACTCCTCCACCACTTGTAGAACTGCCTGATTACTCATGGAGAGTTGAGCAGGTACAGTGTTGTATGACATGAAATTCCCAGGCAGGTGATTTATTTTGGTGGAACATACGCAAGGCCACCTTTCATGATGGAATTATCCAGGCACAGAACAAGATTATCGAACCCCATCTTATTAAGTAGCCATTTCCAGACCATCAGCAGATATAACATGGTTGACCAAGGAACGATCCCTTAACTATAAGCAGGCATCGATGCGCGTATCATTTTAACCGTAACCAATGCTATTTATTTCTATGGCCATTGAGAGCTTCTCAAACGACATAATTATTTAAGATGCTCTGTAATGTAATGCATGGGGCCAGAGTGAATTTTTGTCACAAGCCAAGTTGAACAGGAAATGACTCCGACTTCTGGTCACGCAGCTTTAGATGGGCTTTCCCAAAATCATAAAAATCATCAAAGAATGTGAGTAGAGGCAGAGACGTAAAAAACAAAGAACACAAAGCCCCAAGCCTCTATATGGTACTATATGCCTTAATTACATCAATAAAGCAGAGATATAGTTTCTGCTGAAAATCGGCACTCCTCAGCCCCTTGAATATAGAGGTTACGATCTGGGAAAGTGCCTCGCAAAGCCAAAAGTGCGATATTCAATACTTAAGCCTTACCTAAATAATGGCATGAGGTAAAAGGAAAATTAAAAAACTAAACAATTATAATGAACATTGAGAAACCATACACAAGACAAAATATGGGAAAAATCTATATAAATAAAGCAAACTTTGTTGAACGTTTTTTTGGGAAACAAATTGTGCCAACAACACCAGATGGCAAAAACCCAACATTGTCTATCCTGAAGCTCTCCAAGGGCAACGTATTTAAAAGCTGTCCTCATTATGAAACAAACAAGCCCTGCTATTGTATAACACAACCACAAAACCGTGACAATATACACATTTACAGACTTCATTGGCAGAATTAAATTATTCTAATAAAGCCAGCATGGCAAGACATTACTTTTAATGTTTGATTACCGAGAGCTGAGCTTAGCCGGGAAACTTAGTTATTACTGGATACTATACTTCCAATAAAGTTTGTGCGTGAGTGGGGAGCGGTAGTGCAACGGTTAGCGTGCTGCGCTATTAACCCAACGAGCCGATTTCTATTCCCACAGAACCAAGCCACAACATTTGGCTGTCGTCTGATGAAGATGGTTGGAATTAGTGTCAACACGTTGTACTCAGATTGTAAATGTTGTGGCTTGGCTCTCCAACACACCGATGAGATGTACTAGTACACTACACTATACACTACAGTATTATACACTACACACTAGTGCTGTACTAGTGACGCATTGGCCACGTTTTGTTTACGTGACAAACCCTTACTAATTGGATGTATCGGGTGGTAGCGGGGTGAACGACACATTTATTTATTTACGCGATCTCACACAAACAAACCTGTATTATGGCTGTATATTTGGAGTTTGCGTGTCCCTCTCTCTCCGTGGTCGCGTGGATTTTCCTCCGGATCCTGCGGTTTTCCCTGCACATTTAGAGTCAACATCACCACGCGTTTAGAGTATTTGACCGATAAACATTTCCACATGTTAAATTTCGATTTAAAGCTTTCGTGACTGCAGGGATTCATCTTCTTGGTTCTTTCGGTAAAGTCACGTAGAAGGGAAGTAATAAAATAATCAAAATAAAACATAATAAAATAATTCTCACGACGTTTCGGCCACAACGCAAGCAGCCGTCTTCAGGTGAAAACCAGGTGTCGACAGACCTGGAATTTCACCTGAGGACGGCTGCTTGCGTTGTGGCCGAAACGTCGTGAGAATTATTTGGTCTGTCGACACCTGGTTTTGACCTGAGGACGGCTGCTTGCGTTGTGGCCGAAACGTCGTGAGAATTATTTTATTATGTTTTATTTTTATTATTTTATTACTTCCCTTCTACGTGACTTTACCGAAAGAACCAAGACGATTTCCACACGTTGATAAGCCCACTGCGTTGTGGGCAGGTCGCTTCTGAAAACGAGCGGTGTAGCTCAAGTGGGCTATGCCTGGTAAAATAAAATAAAAAGTAGAAATATTTAAAGTAAAACAAAGTTTCAAAGTAGTGAGCCAGGTGAAGACAAATTCAACTTAAGCAGAGGATTAAAGCAAATATAATCAGGCGAGGGCAGGAGGCAAGTCCCCGCATGGCTAGGCCCCGCGTTGTAATGTTCCAACCTGGACATCGATTCCATACTCGCTGCCACTCAATTGATATCTCTACGAGGGAGAAGGAGCGAGGCTCTACCTGGGTTCACAACAACAACCACAACAACAATCACCACAACAACAACAACGACCACCACGATGTAAACTTCTCACCTCCGATCTCAGTGAGCGAGAGTGCGCGGAGCAGCAGCTACCTGGTAACTCGTGACGTCATGTGGCAGCAGGAGGTGACATGACGTCACTTGCGGGGTTCACACAATCCTCTTCCCCAACGAGCAGCAGGGTAACTGAATATATTATGTTAATGAGAGGGGCCCATGTCAGGTGATGGTTCTTGGCTGCTGACCCCGTCCCAAATAAGCATTTTACTGGAACGGAAATCGGTAGACGTGACGTCACGCTCAAAATCCCGGTGGGGGGTAATTACCTCGGTGACATGACGTCACTAGTGGGGGACACCTCCCCCTCGCATATAATGCCGAGTTTATGAGGGTGACGTCAGAGAGCGAGATCAGGGTTAGAGTTCAAGTTTATTTAGATTCCATTTCTGTGGCTCCCTCTCTTGAACAGAGACCCATTGGGTGCGTGAGCTCAACAACGTGAACATTGTGTGTGGACACTGTTTGTTGGCGCAGTCGGGGGCACAGGTGGTGCATTGGCCAGTCATCTCAGTCAGTCGACCCATGACACCTGGATCTGCCACGTGCACATAGCCTGGCACAAGCGCCGTGGTGACGTCACCGCCACTTAGTGGCGAATGGCGGTTGTTACTGTGTGTATATACTGTGCGTGTACAGACTGTTTGTATACTGTGTGGGCAAACTGTGTGTACGCTGTGTACATGGTGTGTGTAGATCTTGTGGGTATACTGCGCGTGTAATGTGGGTGGTCCGAATCAGTCGGGCGGCATTATCTTTACATCGGCTGCGCTATGCTGTGTGGAAGCTGCCTGGTCTGTCGCTCCACATGAAGCTTCGGTTCTTGTCGGCCAGTCATGCCCTCCCTTCTGTAGGCATGTGAAACGTGGACCCCTCTAAATGGAACATCTGCGCCAGTTAGACACATTCAGGCTGTCATGCCTACACTCAGATTGAGGGAAGCCAAGTAGAAGCACATTCTCTATTTATTGCAGAGGTTCAAGGTTCAAATCTGACAGGCACGTCTGGCTACTCAAGGAACATTTAACAAAATATGCACCGTCTGCTTAACAGTGGATGTAAAACATACGATTGTGTCATTCAAAACGCATAGGTCATTGCATGTTGGTGTCATGGTCAATATTTGGGCAATTTCAAACATTATCCAAAAATTACATAATGAAGATTACACATCAATCATCACCCCCTACTGACAGACTCATGCCCACATGCAGGTGACAGCAGAGTCACCTTATGACAGAGGCAGCTGCCACTTGAAGGTGCTCTTCGAGTGTTTGTGATGAGATATGAAACTGAGTTGCTGAGGCAATTAAACACCATATCAATGCAAATATAAATATAACAGTGGAATACTTAGAAGCTTATTGGCTCTTGCTCCTGATTCTTCATCTACCCAACCCACAGGTCAACAAATACTCGCCGCTCTTACTCTGCAGGTTGAACCCAGGAATTCAGTGTTCAATTTCACGTTCTTTTCATTAAAGGCCTGTGACAAAGGTGCATCTATTGGAGCTTCATTGTCTCAAGCCAACCCATCTACCGGGTCTCCATTTGACTTTGTATTGTCTAAGAAGTCCACCCACACCTCCACTTCCACAAACTGCTGGGAGTTGCCTAGCTCTGCCTCGCAGTCAGAATTCTCCTGCTTCACGTTGCCTTCATCGATGTGAAGGTACGATTTTGGAGTTGAATCTTCATCTTCACAGTTTACTGTCACTTTTTCGCTCTTCACCATCACTTCTTCACATTTCACCTTCACTTCTTCGCTCTTCATCACTTCTTCACATTTCACATTCGCCTCTTCACATTTCACCTTGATACCTTTAAAAGTGTCCAAGCTGGGATTCACTTCTGGTTTCATGAGGGATGGGCTCTTTGCAGCACTTTGACTTTCACAAGCCAATTTCAGACTCCACTCCTTGGGGATGTTCTGATGATTGTATCTCCTCTGGTGTGTTTTAAGATTTGATAAACCTGCAAACGCCTTCCCGCACACAGTGCACCTGAAGGGTTTCTCTCCCGTGTGTGTTCTCTGGTGTAGTTTAAGATGTGATGACTCAGAAAACGCCTTCCCGCACAGAGTGCACATGAAGAGTTTCTCTCCTGTGTGTGTTCTCTTGTGGCAATAAAGACATGATAACCATGCAAATGCCTTCTCACAGACAGTGCACTTGAAAGGTTTCTCTCCCGTGTGTGTTCTCTGGTGTAGTTTAAGATGTGTTGACTCAGCAAACGCCTTCCCGCACAAAGTGCACCTGAAGGGTTTCTCTCCAGTGTGTGTTCTCTGGTGTCTATGAAGATCTGATGACCATGGAAATGCCTTGTCACACACAGTGCACTTGAAGGGTTTATCTCCTGTGTGAGTTATCTGGTGCTGTGTCAAATGTTCAGGACGATCCGTGCTGTATGCACACTGGTCGCGTTGTTGCCTTTTTGTACCGAGCTGCGCCGAGTGCCTTTGCTCCATCAGATCTATTCTGCGGAGGAAGCGTCAGCTGCAGACAGAAAAAAAGAATATCCACACCATCTACGTCAGTATCGAGGCACAGAGGAATGCATATATACAGTCACACATACTTACACGTCTATACTTATTCATATATTCATGATATAGTGAAAAAGATTCCCAAATTAATCACATGGCTGTTATGACACACGATGAAAGGACAAATGGTCAGAAATATGCCTGGAAGCCCTTTAATTTAAAAAATGAATGTTAACCCAAAACTCCAAGCACACAATATCAGTTGTCTGGCTACAAAAGGAATATTTATTAAAGAAAAATGCAGCTAACATAGCAAAGGGTGTTTAAAATAATACTATTTGTATTATGCAGAAATGCATAGATTAATGTTCAATCGCTTACTTAGAGGTATGAAGCCAGGCTCAGATTTCCTTGAATGCTGGGATGAACAGATCTAACTTCAGCTGCATATGTGCTGTGTTAACTTCCCGTTTCCATTATTATAAAAAGCCCCAAAGGAAAACTAAAATAAACTATTGTTTTGATTTAACCTACGTGTTCAAAAGAGTTAATATACTTAACTGCAAATACAAACTTACACTGTCACACATTGGCATGGTAAAAAGGTGGTGGTGTGTCCAGAACCATGCATGGCCACCTTCATCTGCTCAGTATTAATGCTTCTCTCACTTTACCAAGTTATTAATTGAGGATCAATCAACACAGCCGAGACCCACAAGAAGTGAAGTTTTCACTTATCAATCACGTTTGTTGTCGGCGATAATCAAACTCTAATTATTGAGTTCATAATACAGTGATAACACTGTAATAAAGGACTCGACCACTGTGTCTGTCTTCGTTGTCCTCTATTCGGGTTCTTTACACTTGCCCCACACGGCTCTCTCTCCGAGACTCCCCCGCTTGGCAGCCCGATGCTGCCGTCGCTCCCGTAGCCTCTCACTCCACTCTGATGCAGCTCCGCTGCTGATCTCCTCGTGCAGGCCTCCGGCTGCCCTCACTGCAGCCTCAACCGGCTCCCCGTTCCTCCGTGCTCGGTCACCGCTGGCCCACGGTGCCGAGTCTTATCCTGGGTGTGTGTGGCGATCTCGCCACCCTCCAACCTCCGCCCTGCGTGGCCTCACTCTCTATCTCTCTCCAACTCTCCCCCCTGCTCTTCCGGTTTCTCCCCCTTAAGACTTGATCCCTCTCTCCCACGTGACCTAACTCCTCCCCTCGTGACGTCACATCCGCGAGGCCATTTACGCCCGCATTACAACACTATGAAACACAATTTTTGTTCATGGGTATTAAGTGTTATTTTTTTTTATTGCTCATGCCTAAAAAGTATAGAAAATCGCTATTATTCCCCACAAACTTTGCTTTTGTAACCAGGCCCGTTTTGAAAATAGGTAAATTTCTAAATATCAATATTCTGGTCACAAAAGCAAAGTTTGTTGGGTATAATAGCAATTTTCTGTACTTTTGAGGCATAGGCAATTAGGAAATAACACTACCCAGGAACAATTTTTGTTGTTACACAGTGTAATAACTGCGCCACCGCTCCCCACGTAAATAAACTCTTACAGATGTAGTGACATAGCAGGATGTTACTGTGTAGTGCCGGCCCTAGATAGGCACGGCGTGCGGTGTAACGACATCACGGATACCACGATGGTGGGTGTAGTACCGGCCCTAGAGGGGCTCTGTGAGCGCTGATTGATATCGCTGGATGGCACCACGCTTGGCGTGTAGTACCGGCCCTACAGGATAGGGTGTGGGAGTGCCAGCCGTAGGAATGAGGTTACTAAAGGCCATGGCACTCTTGTTGACCTAGAGGACACGTGACCAGTTAAGTCTACAAAGGGGCCCCAAGTGGGGGCTAGGGGTGGTCACGTGGTAGGGGTCCAGATCCTGCTCGAAGATTCTGGAAGGTGGTCGTGGCCAAGGGTGGAGCCAGCCACACCGCAGAGAATATAAGGCGGGTCCCCCAGAGGGACCGGCGTTGTTGTTCATCCTGAAAAAACCTTCGTATACGTTCTACGTTTCACCGAGTCTCCAACAAGTGGACCTGGACCCGAGCCTGTCCGTCGTAGATATTTACGTTGTAATTAGTGTAGTTAGCCTGGTGGTCACCACCATAGGTTGTTATTCTGTTAAGGGGCAGTTACCCCGTGTGTTGGTGTTAAATAAATGTGTTGCCTCCAAGTGTACATCTGCGACTCAGATGAACTCACTACACATACATTTCACATGAATGCCATGTAAGTGTGGATCACTTGTCAGCACCACCAAACACATACTATTCATACCCACTTCAAGCACTGCAAACAATTACTCCCTTCAACAACTTACATCCTTATACTTCATTCCTCTGCAGCTTTGTCTTCACATTCCTACAACGATTACACATTCAACTATCAGTTCATTAACAATCTCACCACAGCATTCACTCACACACTCACTATTTATGCTTATTCTGCTTACTAATTTTTACCTCCACCTATAACGTTCCTTGCAGAAAACGCGCACTTTTCTTCACCAAAGCTGATTACAATAACTGATGCCATTCGTACAAGTGCTGCCATGGCTGCATCTATTGAGGACACTTCTGAACACCCAAGAAGCAAGACGGCATGCTGCCAGTGCTGCTATGCCTGCACCAATAGTGAATGCATCTCATCAACAGCAATAGGCTACACAAAACTAACACAGCACAAATGGCTGCTGCCACAGCTAATCAAACTCCAGTCCGCCAACAAGCACGGCAGCTTGCAAACAGTACGACAATGGCTGCAACCAGGTGCCTACCCTGCAGCCACAAAGATAAGCATTTTTTTCCATACATTCCTCACTTCATTTACACTTCTGATCCATTAGATGCCACTGGTTCAATGTCTACTTCTTGCAGCTACTGCCATGAAATGATATGGAAAGGAGACACTCTAGGGCTATGCTGCAACAGTACCATGGTTCAGCTGCCTACATTTAATGACCATACCGAGCCTATTTATGTATTGATACCTGACAAGCCATTTCCGAAACAACAATATAAATTATAACTCATGGTTCCAAATAATCATGCTCTGGCATCGAGCAACTCATCCTAAAATCTGGCTACATGCCCACATTTCAAGTTCAGGGCCAGGTACATAATCTCATTGGCAGTCTGCTGCCACTACCTAATAACCTACCTACATTACCACAGATCTACTTGCATCTCTGACAATACCAGACATGCTCACCAGCATTGCAAAAATGTCATCAACACCAAGATGCCAGTCCTATTGCAAGACATGCTCCATAAGGAAAACTCTTACAATCACAGTTTCAAGTGTGCCATGGAGAAGATTACTTCAGAGTACAATGTTGTCATCCATGCAAACTAAACTCCACATGGTCAAACTGACCCAGCAACAGGCTTGCCAACACAAAAGAAGATTTCCGCCATGGACTGCTTTGCCTTCAGGATAATGGTGCGAACGGCAACTTCAATCTCTTCTTGAGATGCAGAGAGCTCTTCCACAAATTTGCTGTCGACATGTATGCCAAAATGGAAGCATCATTTGATTAAACCTACCAGATGGAAAAACATACAACATTGTCTATCCTGAAGCTCTCCAAGGGCAACACATTTTAAAGCTGTCCTCATTATGAAAAAACAAGCCCTGCGATTGTATAACACAACCTAAAAACCGTGACGATATACACACATTTATGGATTTAATTGGCAGAATTCAATCATTCTAATAAAGCCAGCATGGCAAGACATTACTCTTAATGTTTGATTACTGAGAACTGAGCTAAGCCGGGTAACTTAGTTATTACTGGATAAATACTATACTACCGATTAAGTTTGTGCGTGAGTGGGGAGTGGTAGTGGAACGTTTAGCGTGCTGCGCTATGAACCAAGTGAGCCGATTTATATTCCCAGAATCAAGCCACAACATTTGGCTGTCGCCTGATGAAGCTGGTTGTAATTACTGTCAAAACGTTGTACTCAGATGGTAAATGTTGTGGCTTGGCTCTCCAACACACCGATATGCTGTACTAGTACACTACATTTCGATTTAAAGCTTTCGTAACTGCAGGGATTCATCTTCTTGGTTCTTTCGGTAAAGTCACGTAGAAGGGAAGTAATAAAATAATAAAAATAAAACAATTCTCACGACGTTTCGGCCACAACGCAAGCAGCCGTCCTCAGGTGAAAACCAGGTCTGTCGTGGCAACAGCGTCTGAATGAAACAGCACACGTGCTTATTATACACTACACCATACACTACTATACACTACACTACACACTACACTACTATGCACTACACTATACACTACTACACTATACACTACATTACACATTAGTGCTGTACTAGTGACGCATTGGCCACGTTCTGTTTACGTGACAAACCTCTTACTAATTGGCTGTGTCGGGTGGTGGCGGGGATAACGACACATTGATTTATTTACGCGATCTCACACAAACAAACCTGTATTATGGCTGTATATTTGGAGTTTGCGTGTCCCTCTCTCTCCGTGGTCGCGTGGATTTTCCTCCGGATCTTGCGGTTTTCCCTGCACATTTAGAGTCAACATCACCACGCGTTTAGAGTATTTAACCGATAAACATTTCCACACGTTGATAAGCCCCCATGTGTTGTGGGCAGGTCGCTTCTGAAAACGAGCGGTGTAGCTCAAGTGGGCTATGCCTGGTGAAATAAAAAAAAACGTAGAAATATTTAAAAGAAAACAAAGTTTCAAAGTAGTGAGCCAGGTGAAGACAAATGAAACTTAAGCAGAGAATTAAAGCAAATGCAATCAGGCGAGGGCTGGAGGCAAGGCCTCGCGTTGTAATGTTCCATCCAGGACGATTCCATACTCGCTGCTGCTCAATTTATATCCCTACGAGAAAAAGGAGCGAGGCTCTACCTGGGTTCACAACAACAACCACAACCACCACAACAACCACCACCACAATAACCACGATGTCAACTTCTCACCTCGGATCTCAGTGAGCGAGCGTGCGGGGAGCAGCAGCTTCCTAGTATGTCGTGACGTCATGCGGCAGCAGGTGACATGACGTCATTTGCGGGGTTCACACAATCCCCTCCCCTAGCGAGCAGCAGGGTAACTGAATAAATTATGATAATTTACCGGGCTCATTAACACTTAGTGGCGAATGGCGGTTGTTGTTCTTGTTACTGTGTGTGTACAGGCTGTTTGTATACTGTGTGTGGGTGGTCCGAATCAGTCGGGCAGCATTGTCATTTAATCGGCTGCGCTATGCTGTGTGGAAGCTACCTGGTCTGTCGCTCCGCATGAAGCTTCGGTTCTTCTCGGCCACAGTCATGCCCTCCCTTCTGTAGGCATGTGAAACGTGGACTCCTCTAAATGGAACATTCAGGCTGGCATGCCTACACTCAGATTGAGAGAAGCCCAAGTGGTAGCACATTCTATTATTGCAGAGGTTCAAGGTTCATTTAGCTGTGACGGTCCCACCTGATGACAGAGACTTGTATTGCCTCCGAAACGTCGTGATTTATTATTTTATTTCTATTATTATCTCAAATGTTTTATTATTTATTTATTTTTCCGCCCCACAGCACACGCTGAGCACCACGGTGCACTGCAGCTAACAATCACACTTGCAGAGTCAAGGACTTCGAGAAGTTGTAATGTACTAAGGTAAGAGGTGTGACAAGTTACGTGGTCGAGGAAAATTGTTCATCGGAGTTTTTGGTGGCAAGGAACCTTATACAGCATGCCTCATGCTATTGTTGAACAAAGGAATTTTCTACATGTTGTACAAAGCTAAGAGGTGTCAGAGAATCGTTGGCAAAAACGCCCGTGGTGACATTAATTACCTTTCCCAAGTGGAAACTTGAGGTGCACACCAGTCTCGAGTGTGCACAGAAACATTGCCCAAGCTACAGCCTGGGAACAGGGTTGCGATTTCCGCATGGAAAATGCGGAAGGAGGGTTCAAATTTTCCCGCATTTTTGCTAAAGTCAACCGCAAACGGTGGAAAGACTACTCCTGTGACCGCGCGCTTTTAACAACACGTTAATGCGTTCTATTGGAAAGGATACATGCAAGGCCCAGCATCACGTAGGGCTTTGAGTTACTGATTGGAATGAATATATGATTTCCGCATTTCCGCACAAGAACCACATACTTTATTCAAATGCGGAGCCGTGATTACGAGCACATGTACATGATGTATCCTTTCCAATAGAACGCATTAACGTGTTGTTAAAAGCGCGCGGTCATAGGAGTAGTCTTTCCACCGTTTGCGGTTGACTTTAGCAAAAATGCGGGAAAATTTGAACCCTCCTTCCGCATTTTCCATGCGGAAATCGCAACCCTGCCTGGGAAGTTCTGTTGGTGGTCGAGCCGCCATGACTGATTCTACGAGGTGTGGAGAGGCCGAGAGTGCGTCTGAAGTATCACGCACAGTCTCTGCTGAACCGGTGGCACCCAGACATCGCTGATTACCGAGAATGGGGCACCCTTTTAACGACGGGCTGTTGTAGGTAGAGTAAATATTAATTCATGCATTGGTTAACTAAGTTTATTTCATATTATGGGTTTATAATGTAAGTATCATACTCTTTGGTTCTTTCGGAAAAAGTCACGTAGGTATAAAATAAAACAAAATAAATAACGACGTTTCGGGCGCAACACAAGCGTCCGGCATCAGGTGGGAAAGCATGGTCTGCTGCAAGTAGTCGTACTCTCGTAAATTATTCAGTTATATTTTATACCTACGTGACTTTACCGAAAGAATCAAAGAGTATGAATTCCTGCAGTCACGAAAGCTTCAAATCAAGGTTGTAAGTATCTATGTTGCACACTCGAAATGAAGGACGTGGGCAGGTGCTCCAAATCGAGGGCAAACACATTTATTGTGGTTATTCTGTAATATGCAACAGCACGTGTGTCACACACAGCAATCTTCAACCGAGTCGCCATTAAACATGTGACTGGTGTACACGTCCGGCTAATCAATAACAGTTTCTCTTAACCCCAATTCTACTACTGATAAACCATCTTTGTCTTTGACAATAACCCTTGTACTTCACTATTCGAATATTACTTTAATCCTAAGCTGTATGTCTATACCATCGACTTACATCCATTACCTGTACTGTATATGTACAATATACGTACTGTATTTATCACCATTGTACAACTTACTACTTTACATGTGTAATAAAAGATGTTGACGACACACAGCTTGGTCTCCGTCACTCTTTATTTCTTGTTATTGTTGCTCACACTCCGCCGATCCTGACAGCGGACCGGCTGTCTCTCCCGCACGCCCTTTCCGTCAGTCGCACTCTCTCCTCCTCCCGCACACCGTTGGCTGACGATGTGCTGGGAGCAGAGGTTGCAACCGGGTACCCGATACCCGTACCCTACCCGATACCCGGCTACCCGTACCCGGCCGGATACGGGTACTCGTTTGCGACCCTGGTGCGGCCGGGTACAGGTATGGGTAGACCGTGAGTCACTGGTGAGTAACTGTTTGTCACTCATTTCCCAACGTCTTGTCTCTTCTCACAATTCAAGTTCCTAGAATCAACCCAACTGCGCCTGCAACATGGCTTCATCCCAGAGATCGCAATCGGGTACCCGTACCCTACCCGTACCCTACCCGTACCCGGGCGGGTACGGGTAGGGTACGGGTACAGCCGGGTACGGGTACCCGATTGCGACCCTGGTGCGGCCTGGGAGTCGTCTCCAGCCACATGGCCGATGGCGCAGGAGACGTCCCACAACTCAACGTGGTCCCACTTCGTGACTAGACCCACCGACCACGAGTCTCTTCCGGACCCCCCCTTATATTTCCCTCACGTCATCCTGTCTCACCACACCCCTTCCAAACCTTCCAAATTACACCCTTTGCTTCGCGCCCCTCTGGCTCCTCCCTTAGGCTCCGCCCCTGATCTTCCGGCATCTGATTGGACCGGAGGTGGGCGGCGGACCTTCCCATACGCCCACATTACTGGGCCCCGCCCCAAATACTCCGGGCGTCTGATTGGCCCAGAGCTGAGCGGCAAAACCCCACTCACGCTCGCATTACATACGTGTTCTGTTCTCAATAGCATTGCAAGTAGTCATACTCTGTGTGTATGGGCATGGTTATAGAATAAACAATATTAGGGTTGGAGAATCAATAATTACAGTGCGAAACCCCTCCTATTGAATATATCACAAACTAACAATTCAAAGCCAAGCTTGAAGTCTAGAACAAGTCTAGAACTTTTCTATGAAGATCAAAATCAACCTTTGGGTCCTTTACCTATAAAATGCAATAGCACGTGTGTCACACAGAGCAAACTTTAACCCAGTCGCCATTAACCATGTGACTGGTATGCAAGTGCCGTTAATCAATAACCCTGCCAGCCACCTACCGGCCCAACTCAGGTATCACATGCTGGTGTACACACGTGCATTGATGTACTGCACAGCACAAGGACTTTCACAAAACCACACTTTACTTTCTTGCTGCACGAGGAAATGATTAAAGAGTGGTCCATTCCTAATGTGCCAAATTGATGTATTCATATCCATTGCTTAAATCTTCTAAAGTACGTTTTTCTTAGTGAAAAGGGGTAACTTTCGATGCTATCGAAACAAATTAAGCCTTTAAAGTCTATTTCCTATACTCGCTTAAAGACCAAATCACTTAATGACCGGTTTCGTGGAACCACTTACCGCGGTTAAGAGGAGGGGTCCGACTGTATAGTGTGGTGTGAGTCCGTTCACGTGCAATCCTTGCATGAGGATCGCGTCACCAGCTGTACGTGGTGTGGTCACCTGATGGGTATGTGGAAGAGTCGGTGTTCATCTTCTATCTTCTCTGTATCCGAAAATACATCCAGTCCCACACGGGATGTGCAGAACGGCACGCTCGGTCCGCTGATGAAGTATGTTGTGAAAACGCGGCTCGCTGTACCACTGAGGGCTGTCCGCCTCTCAGGTGGAGTGCGCTCACGGCTCTCGAGTCGGCTCGCCGCCAGTTCGCCATTTGCGGCCACATCACACCCCCTAGCAGGTGGTCTGCATGCTAGGCTCGATCTGCAGCTGGAGTGCTCTGTGGCCACGCTGGCCCAGCGCTTGCGGCTTGTCAGCAGACCAGAGCGGCTTCACGTTTAATAGTCGGTAAGCGAACACATTGGGCTCTATGGAGGCCCACCGTGAAGTGATTCGTCATTAACAGGGATGCTCGTTAAGAGGGGTTCTACTACTACTGCTATATCATAACTGGTGGACCTTGACCATGATTTCCACCCTGACACACACACACACACACCCACTCTATGTGACGCATATGAGTACAAATGTTGGCTTTCTGAGAAATTAGCTTGTTTCATATTCTTTGGGTCTTTTGGTAAAGCCACGTAGATAGAAAAAATAACTAAAAATATCACGACGTTTCGATCGCAATACAAGCAATCGTCATCAGGTGAAAAAATAACGAGAGAGCTGCTGAGGTAGGATGTTATAAAGGTTTTTGATGGGTGTAGCCCAAGGGTCATAAGCGAAGTGGGTGGGGATGGTGAAGAAAATTGCATATAAATGTAAGACCAGGTTCGATTCAACACAGTACATAAAATTCGTGATCTCTTCCCATCTGTGAAGGATGTGATCCCTGACATGCAATACCTTGGCGTCTATAAACTAAGCTGTGTCTGTGGCAGTAGTCACATTGGGGAAACTAAGCGACTTGTCTCGGACCGTGTTCGTGAACATAAGGCAGATCTGAAACACGGTAGGACCAATACCTCAGCCGTGACTGATCATTGTTTTAATGCGGTGGGCACACACAAAATTGATTTTTCCACAACGAAGGTACTCTCCAAACCCACTGGCTATCAGCAAAGATTCGTTCATGAAGCCATCCAGATATATAAACACAGACACAATTTCAACCGAAAAGATGGGTACAAACTGAGCAATCATTGAAAGGACGTTATTAACCAGGTTAAGTCATAACTGGCTGTGATGTTTAGTAGTTGTTTTCAACTCTGGTTTTACATTAACAGGTGAATTGCTTCTACATTAACAGGTTAAATGTCTCACTAACACAGCCACCGTTGCTCGTTTTCCTTTATGTGGCGGTGGCTCTACGATCTGCCATTGACATGCTATCTCTCACAATACAAGGGCCACCTCCACAGCTTCGTCATCGTGGAAGTTTCCCAGCTCTCTCTGATCTTACATTTACATGCAAATTTTCGTCACTAGCCCAGCCTACTTTGCTTATACACAATACAATGGCCACCCCCGCAGCTTCATCGTCGTGGAGGTTGCCCAGCTCTCTCCGATCTTACATTTACATGCAAATGTATTCGCTAGCCCTGCCCACTTCGCTTATGACCCTTGGACTACACCCATCTCAAACCTTTATAACATCCTGCCTCAGCAGGTCTCTCGCTGTTTTTTCACCCGATGACGATTGCTTGCGTTGCGATCGAAACGTCGTGATATTTTTTCTTATTTTTCTACCTACGTGGCTTTACCGAAAGACCCACAGAATACGAATTCCTGCAGTCACGAAAGCTTTAAGTCAAGAATTAGCTTGTTTGTTTATTTTAATTGCATAATCTTGCAATTCGATCGTTGACGCTTTTCTAACCCCCCTCCCTTGTTTTTGTTATTTACGTTATGAATGCGAATGCTTGGCATTAACACCGTTGTTTGAGGCGGTAGCCTGTTTGTTTTTATTCTCATCGCATAGTCTTGTGATGCAGTGGTTGATGCTTCTAATCAATTAGTACGAAGTGATGAGTACGTATATTCGTATGGGTACTGTGTAGTTCTACTCTAATTACATTCTTTGTGGATGTCAATGTAAGTTGATATTAAAGGGGCTTATAACAAGAAGGATCCGAGTGCTTCTTTCCTAAGTCATGCATAATTTTATCTCAATTACGAGAACTGTATCCTGTTGTGAGATCTGAATCCTGAAACCTGACAAAATTACACATAATTTGGCAAAGCGTGAATCATTGATATTATCACGATTGATAATGCATACCCTTAAACAATGAGAGACAATGATACTAAGAACTTTTGATAATTTTATGCATACTCACTTAATCATATTTATTACTAGAGTGGGTGAGTGAGTGGGGGCGTGAGTGAGTGGTTGATTAAGTGGTTGAATGAGTAGGTGAGTGAGCGGTTAATTGAATGAGTCGGTGGGTGAGTAATTAAGTAACTAAGTGGGTGAGTAGTTGAGTGAGTGACTGAGTGGTTGAGTGAGTGGGTGAGTAATTGAGTGACTAAGTGGGTGAGGAGTTGAGTGAGTGACTGAGTGGTTGAGTGAGTGGGTGAGTAATTGAGTGACTAAGTGGGTGAGGAGTTGAGTGAGTGACTGAGTGGTTGAGTGAGCGGGTGAGTAATTGAGTGACTAAGTGGGTGAGGAGTTGAGTGAGTGACTGAGTGGTTGAGTGAGTGGGTGAGTAATTAAGTGACTAAGTGGGTGAGTAGTTGAGTGAGTGACTGAGTGGTTGAGTGAGCGGGTGAGTAATTGAGTGACTAAGTGGGTGAGGAGTTGCGTGAGTGACTGAGTGGTTGAGTGAGTGGGTGAGTAATTAAGTGACTAAGTGGGTGAGTAGTTGAGTGAGTGACTGAGTGGTTGAGTGAGTGGGTGAGTAATTGAGTGACTAAGTGGGTGAGTAGTTGAGTGAGTGACTGAGTGGTTGAGTGAGTGGGTGAGTAATTAAGTGACTAAGTGGGTGAGTAGTTGAGTGAGTGACTGAGTGGTTGAGTGAGTGGGTGAGTAATTGAGTGACTAAGTGGGTGAGGAGTTGCGTGAGTGACTGAGTGGTTGAGTGAGTGGGTGAGTAATTAAGTGACTAAGTGGGTGAGTAGTTGAGTGAGTGACTGAGTGGTTGAGTGAGTGGGTGAGTAATTGAGTGACTAAGTGGGTGAGTAGTTGAGTGAGTGACTGAGTGGTTGAGTGAGTGGGTGAGTAATTGAGTGACTAAGTGGGTGAGTAGTTGAGTGAGTGACTGAGTGGTTGAGTGAGTGGGCGAGTAATTAAGTGACTAAGTGGGTGAGTAGTTGAGTGAGTGACTGAGTGGTTGAGTGAGTGGGTGAGTAATTGAGTGACTAAGTGGGTGAGGAGTTGCGTGAGTGACTGAGTGGTTGAGTGAGTGGGTGAGTAATTAAGTGACTAAGTGGGTGAGTAGTTGAGTGAGTGACTGAGTGGTTGAGTGAGTGGGTGAGTAATTGAGTGACTAAGTGGGTGAGGAGTTGCGTGAGTGACTGAGTGGTTGAGTGAGTGGGTGAGTAATTGAGTGACTAAGTGGGTGAGTAGTTGAGTGAGTGACTGAGTGGTTGAGTGAGTGGGTGAGTAATTAAGTGACTAAGTGGGTGAGTAGTTGAGTGAGTGACTGAGTGGTTGAGTGAGTGGGTGAGTAATTGAGTGACTAAGTGGGTGAGTAGTTGAGTGAGTGACTGAGTGGTTGAGTGAGTGGGTGAGTAATTGAGTGACTAAGTGGGTGAGTAGTTGCGTGAGTGACTGAGTGGTTAAGTGAGTGGGTGAGTAATTAAGTGACTAAGTGGGTGAGTAGTTGAGTGAGTGACTGAGTGGTTGAGTGAGTGGGTGAGTAATTGAGTGACTAAGTGGGTGAGGAGTTGCGTGAGTGGGTGGCTGTGTGGGTTGAGGGTCGCCCCTTAGCAGCGTCTATCCCAGGCCATGAATGCACGCTGCTTTCTTCCGCTCAGCAGCACTGGGTGGGGCTGCCTGGACACACGAGACAGGGGTCATTGTCGTGGGTGCGTGAGTGAGTGGGTGCGTGAGGGAGTGAGTGAGTGGGTGAGTGGTTCAATGAATGAATGAGTGGGTGGGTGAGTGTGTGAGTCAGTGGGTTAGTGAGTGAGGCAGTGAGTGGTTGTGGGGGGAGGGGTAGCTGATGGGTGAGTGAGTGGGTGCGTGAGGGAGTGAGTGAGTGAGTGGGTGAGTGGTTCAATGAATGAATGAGTGGGTGGGTGAGTGTGTGAGTCAGTGGGTTAGTGAGTGAGGCAGTGAGTGGTTGTGGGGGGGGGTAGCTGATGGGTGAGTGAGTGGGTGCGTGAGGGAGTGAGTGAGTGAGTGGGTGAGTGGTTCAATGAATGAATGAGTGGGTGGGTGAGTGTGTGAGTCAGTGGGTTAGTGAGTGAGGCAGTGAGTGGTTGTGGGGGGGGGGGGGGTAGCTGATGGGTGAGTGAGTGGGTGCGTGAGGGAGTGAGTGAGTGAGTGGGTGAGTGGTTCAATGAATGAATGAATGAGTGGGTGGGTGAGTGTGTGAGTCAGTGGGTTAGTGAGTGAGGCAGTGAGTGGTTGTGGGGGGGGGGGGGTAGCTGATGGGTGAGTGAGTGGTTGAATGATTGAGTGGGTGGGTGAATGAGTGGGTGAGTAGGTCGCTGGGTCAGTGAGTGGGTGAGTAAGTGGTTGGAAGGGTAACTTTAATGCCCGAGTTCATTCTGGCACTGGCACCTGGTCTGGAGTGATTGGAGGGCGTGGGCCAGATCAGCTCAATAACCACGGTTGGAAGCTGCTAGACTTACTTCTGTGCAGCCCATGGGCTTGTAGTTACCAACATGCTTGTTCCAGCATCGGCACATCCACCCAACATCATGCATGCACGCCAGGTCCAAGCAAGAACATCTGCTGGACTATATAGCGATGGAAGAGCGAATGAGGTCCAAACCTCCCCAGAGGCCCAGGCTAAGAAAAAGTGACAGGCTCACTCTCACCATCTACAGCCTCCCATGTCAGCGAAAGATGAGACCTACTGCAGACTTCGCTCGGAGGTTCGGAGCGCGGTGCACTGCTGCAAGGTGGTTGCTGAGGAGATGGAATATGCCTCAATAGCCCGCGATCACAAATCACTCTTTAACTCCATCAAAAAGTAACTTTAAGTGCCACATCTATCACCATCATTAGGCGAAAGAATGGTGATCCGATCTGCGACACCCAAGAACAGGTTTGCAGATTTGCTGAGCATTTCCCTGAAGTTTTGGGGAAGGAAAAATCCCTCAGCCCGGAAAACTTCATGGGGCAAATTTGGGATGACCCTGTTGAGGCTGCGGTGCCTCCAATATTGGAAGAAGTTGTCACCCACTGAGTGTCTCGCAGAGGTGTCATCTGTTGAGGAAGTACAGACGGCGATACAGAGTCTGAGACAAGAAAAAGAAACGGTTAGAGTTAATCTCCCAAGCGAAATGCTGAGGGAGGGTGACGTTTGTGCACAGACTGCCCGAGATGTGGACCACTGGACAGGTTCTGCAGGATGGGAAGGATGGCCTGGTGGTCCCCCTCTTTCAGAAGGGGGACCCGCACAGACTGTATCAACTACAGGGGCATCTTCCTCCTCAGTGTGTACTGGGAAAGATCCTGGCAAGGATCATTCAACATTGCCTTACCAGGCAATGTGGTTTCAGGCCAAGGCAGTCCTGCATAGATGCCATATTTTCTGTCCATTTACTACAGCAAAGGTGTAGGGAAGTCCAACAGGACCTACATCTCTGCTTTATTGACCTGATCAAGGTCTATGATACCATCAATAGGCCTGGGCTGTGGGTTGTTCTTCGTGCTTTTGGAGAATCTGATTCTCTGCTCACAATAATTAAGGACTTTCATGATGGTGAGTGGGCCCGCGTAAAACTACATGGCCAGGAGTCGGAGCCATTCCCTATTCATCTTGGGGTGTGACAGGGATGTCCTCTGACTCCCGCATTATTTAACATCGATATAGACCACATAGTTCGTGAAGCCTTCATTGGTTGTGTAGTGACTGTGAATGTCACTGTGTGGTGCCAGGCTTGCAAAGCCACGGCGGTTAATGTGTTGGCATTACGTGTAGCTCGCTTACTGGGCGTCGTAACAGCCCTAGCAGGGCTTGGGTGAGCGCTGGTCAGCGCGGAGGCACCACGTACAATGTGAGGTGCGGGCTCCCGGTGAGAGAGCGAGAGGGAGTGTCAGCCAGCCAGGGTGACGTTGGGGCATGATACGCTGGTTGACCTGCCGACACGTGACCGGGCGACATTGGAGGGGGGGGGACACCGGTGGACGGGGGCCATTGGGCGGTCACGTGGTATAAAAGAATTCTTGGGAGCCTTCGGGGAAGAGCTCGAGAGATCTAGAAGGTGGGCGGGGCGAGGGGCGGAGCCAGCCCCAACCCAGACCGCTATAACGGGGGCCCGTGAGGGGCTCGGTGTTCTTTGGGTTGGTGGTGAAGAAGATCCACGTCGGGTTGATGAAGCCTCAAGCCACGCGGTCCAGGACCCAGCTCGTAGTCCAGACCGGGATAGCAAACCGTGTCTAGTTCTGCCGTAGCGTGGTTAGATGGGCGTTTAACACCCAAGTGTAGGTTATGTTATGTTGAGTTGGTGCAATAAATAGTGTTGCTCCCAAGACAACGTCTGCGACTCAGTTGGACTCACTACAGTTGTACCAGAGGAATTTCCATCTGGTACAGATACCATGGGAGGCTGATTGATGCCCAGGTGTTTTCAAGGGATGGCTCACTACTGGTCAGCTATGTAATGTATGCTGATGATCTGGTGATTGCTGCTCACTCAGAGGAAGAGGCACTGCTGCTGAACCTGGAGCATGCCACGAAGAGTTGGGGCCTTACTTTCAGCCTCACCAAAACTAAGCGCCTGCATGGATATGTTGTGCCATCAGATACTCTACCCAACAACTGCTAATGGTGATGGAGCAATTGTGGAGAGAGAAGAAAGTTGTCCATACCTGGACAGTGTGCTCATGACTGGCTCCGGTTTGACAGCAGAGGTCTCGCTCTGAATCAGTCAAGCGGCATTATTATTTTCATTGGCTGAGTAACACTTTGTGGAAGCTACCTGGTCTGTCGCTCCACACGAAGCTTCAGGTCTTCTCGGCCACAGTAATGCCCTCCCTTCCCTATGCTTGCGAAACGTGCACCCCCCTAAAGGAACATCTTCGCCGATTAGAAACATTTAGGCTCGCTTGCCAACGATTCATCCTGGGCTTAACCAGGCTGGATTGTGTGAAAATTTCACAAATCCTGAAAAAGATCTGGACACAGTCCCATCGGTGAGCTCCTCTGGAAGGCAAGGCTGCATTGGCTGGGTCATGTAGCCTGCATGTCCAGCCACCGCATGCCTGAACAGCTTTTGTTCGGCTAGATAGACAGGGCTAAACGGTCACGGCATGGGCTCGAGAAGAGATGTAGGTCCTGTTAAATTTGCCGTTGACTGGTACGAGCAGTGTCAAGATCAGCCTCTGTGGAAAATGCTCGTGAAGGACGCTGCTACTGGGCAGTTGGAGGCAGTCGCCTCCAGCAACAACGAGGGTAGAGGAGCGATGCTCAAAACAACAATCGGAGTGCCGGTCGGCTAAAACACAGCGAGTTGGCACAGTAGGGGACACAGGTGGTGCATCAGCCAGTCATCTCAGTCAGTTGACCCGTGGCACATGATGGGTCTGCCCCGTGACCTTCTTCCAGTAGGTGTTCAACAATTCACGTGGCCTTAACATGCACCTAGCCTGGCACAAGCGACGTGGTGACGTCAACACTACTTGTGGTGAATGGCGGTTGTTGTTGAGTGGATGATTGAGTGGATGAGTGAGTGGATGAGTGAGTGGATGGATGAATGAGTGGGTCACTGATTGAGTGATTGGGTGGGTGGATTAGTAAGAGTGTGAGTGAGTGGTTGGATGAATGAGAAGGTGAGTGAGTGCGTGAGTGAGTGGATGGGTGAGTGAGTAAGCTTCTTGATGTCTACACGCACCACGGGTGCTGGTGGTTGTGGCTGTGAGAGTCCTCAGCAGCCTGAAGGAATGGGCCCCTCTGTGGACTCATACCACTTGGTTAGTTAGCAACCATCATCCATCAGACACTACACTATACACCACACTACACAATACACTACACTACTATACAATACGCTATACACTACACTATACACTACACTACACACTCCACTACACTGTATACCAGAGGTGGGACAAAGTCATTGTTATGCAAGTCCAAGTCGAGTCTGAAGTCATCAAATTCATGACTCGAGTCTGACTCGAGTCCAAGTCACATGACTCGAGTCCACACCTCTGCTGTATACTACACTACTATACACAACATTGTACACAATACTATACACTGCACTACTAGACACTATTAATAATAAAGGTGTTTGGGTTAGATCGCGTTATTTATAAATGTGGCGTAACCCTCCACCACCCGACACAGCCAATCAGTAAAAAAAGTGTCACGTTTGCAAAGGACAAAATAATTCACTTCTTTAGCCCACCGGTGTGCTGAAGAGTGAATCAACATCATTTAAAATTTGAGTACGACGTTTCGCTGGTAATTACATCCAGCTTCATCGGGCAATTTGCCAGAATGGTAAAGCCCGCCCATTGCTCCCGGTCTTAAATAGAGCAGCAGCAGGGTGACGTCATCATTTAATTCATTCTGGTGCAGTGATTCGAGATGGAGAAGGGGAGGGTATTGTAATTATATAGATTGGTAATCATTCAATTGTTATTCATTGGTATTTGTTTCCCTTATAAGGAATTGTAATTGTATTATATATCTTATTTATTTAATAATACGCTTCCAGGCCGCACTAAGCCTGTAGCTGTCAGAGCGATTAAAGTTATTTCTATTTCTCTCAATTTCAATGGGTTCTCTAATTAGTCTTGGCCAGTAATAATTAGTTTCACACTACACTTCAGCGTTATCAAAATCAATTGAGTGTCCTTGTTGACAAGCCACTGCCGACAGTTGTGTTTGAAATAATTTAATGTTTCTTTGGTGTTCTTTTAGTCTTACGTTGATGTTACGTCCCGTCTGTCCAATATAGCATCTGCTATACACTACTCTATACTATACAATACACGACTATACACTACTATGCACTCCACTATACACTGGTCTACTATACACTACACCATACACTGCACAATACACTACACTAACCTATACACTACACTACTGTACAATACAGTATAAAGTACACTATACATTACACTCTATAATCGAGGTTTTTTGGGTTAGATTTCAAAACTTTATGCGATCTAACCCAAAAAAACCTCTTATGGATTATATTGGTCGCGAAAACTTACGTGTTAAACACGATACACTGCTATACACTACACTACTATGCACTACACTACTACATACTACACTGTACACTACACTACTACATACTACAATACACTATACTAATATACACTACACTATACACTACACACCTTGATCTGGTGTCCGGAGGAGAGGGCTGAGTGATTGATCCACGTCAGGTTTTCCACACCCCACCCGATCGATCCAACGTGGTGTTTGGTAAAGGCTAGGATCGCAATCACCAGCATCACCATCATCAGCACCATCAGCAGCAGCATCAGAATCATCAGCATCATCATCAGCAACAGCAGCATCATCAGCATCATCAGCAGCATCAGCATCATCAACATCATCAGCATGAGCATCGTCAGCATCATCGTCAGCATTATTAGCAGCACCACAAGCATCATCACCAGCATCATCATCAGAATCATCATTAGCATAGTCAGAATCATCATCAACATCGTTTGCTTCAGTATCAGCATCATCACCAGCATCATCATCGTCATAAGCATCATCATATGCATCATCATCAGTATCATCATCAACAGCATCATCAGCAGTATCAGCATCAGCATTTACATCATCAGCATCAGCAACATCATCAGCAGCATCAGCATCTACATCAGCATCATCAGCAACATCACTAATGATCATCATCATCAATCAACATCATCGTCGTCATCAGCATCATCAGCAGCATCATCAGCATCACAAGCATCATCAGCAGCAGCATTAGCAGCATCATCAGCAGCAACATCAATGATGATGATGTTGATGATGATCTACAGCATCATCATCAGCATCATTATCAGCAATCAGCAGCATCAGAAGGATCAGCATCATCGTCAGCGTCATTATTGGTAATAACAGGTGGCCGTGGGGGTGCTGGATCGATCAATATCATTCATTACATACACACGGCGAGTTGAGATGGGTGGAAGACATTAAGCTGACTGTGTGGAGTGACAAATGTGGAAAACAGAGAGAGAGACAGAGAGACAGAGGAGAGACAGAGGAGAGAGACAGAGATGAGAGAGAGACAGAGGATAGACTTTTGACTTGTAAACAACTTTATTTGCCTCCAGCAGTAACAGCACTAGAGGCGATTCCGATACGAAATACAGTCACTCGCAAACAAATAACAAATACTATAAATCCACGCGCTGTGGCGCTAAACGCGCCGTCCACAGCCCTGCTGATGCGAGGTATAGAGCCAGGGTCCTCTCTTCTCTGATCCCCTGGAAGAGGCCATTGCAGAACAAAGGCTTGTTCAGGAAGTACGCAATGTCGTAGGGTACGTGCGTTCTGCTCCATTCGAAGCTCCGCCACGCATCCAAGAGGCTCTGGTAATAACCTGGCAGCCTCGTGTAGTCGACCAGGCTCAGGTCCATCAGGAAGAGCTCCTTTCCATACCCCTGAGACAGCAGGGTGAAGGCTGGCAACTTCCAGGGTAGCTCCTCCCGGTCATACAGCAGCCGCCTGACGTCCATGAGCCTGAAGCTCATGACCCTGACGGCGACGTCCACCAGACCCTGGCCACCCTCGCCCACCGATAGGCAGAGAACGCTCTGCCTGAGCCAGTGCTTCCCATGCCAGACCAAGTGGGCGAGTGAGCGGTTGACTCTGGTGAGTAGCCAAGCAGGAGGCTGGAGGGCCTTGGTCCTGTGCCACAGCACGGATGCTGCCAGGGTGTTAGCGATGAGCACTCGGCCCCTGAAAGACATCTGCGGAGTGAGGCGTGCCCATGTCAGCAATTTAGCCTCGATTGTATTGGTCAGCTCGGTCCAGTTGTTCAGAGTGACGTGTGGTTTCCCCAGGTAAACCCCCAGGTACTGGACTCCATCGGCCTGCCAACTGACTCCTGGGAGCACGGACTGAACGCCGCCTCGCGACCCCAAACACGGGCCCAGTTGACCCTGGCGGAGGAGGCCCTCTCGTACACTGCAACCGCCTGGCAGAACGTGGAAACGTCATGCGCGTCATTGAGCACGACGCATATGTCGTCTGCATAAGCCGAGAGCCTGACGACCATGTTCTCAGGTCCCGGGACCTTGAGGCCAGATAGATTCATCTGAGGTGGCATAGCAGTGGCTCAATGGACAGGGTGTGCAGCAGCCCCGAGAGGGGGGGTATCCATGTCTGACCCCCCTCGTCACAGGGAAAGGGGCACCGAGCCGCTGGTTTATCTTCAAGAGGCTGGATGTGCCCGTGTAGTGCCATAAGAGGGGAGGGGCTGCTGGGGGCTCTGGGAGCCTAGGCAGATAAGCCGTCGGCGCCAGGCACTAGGATCCCAGGCACCCCAGCCAGTTAAGCCCCTTGGCGCCACCAACGGGGGGGGGGGGGGGGGGCTGTGTGTGCTCTGTGGGATATCTGGGGGCGCACACAACCCTACCCCTCGTTGGGGACGAGGCAAAAAAGGGCAGCTCCCTGGCCAATCGAGACCAGTTGTAGCTCAAGACCCAAGACCCAAGACCAGCCAGTTAGGACCCTGGACCCCCTCGTCCCGCTTGTCCTTGTAAGGGCCGGGACGCTGTGAGGGCCAGTGGTGGGACTCTGGGACTCCCGGCTCTACGTCCTTGTAAGGGCGAGTTCCGAGGAAGCCAGAGTCCAGACCCGCACCTTGGCTCGGTCGGGTCAGGTTAGCCTCCCCTAGGGTAGATGTAGCCGGAGGACCCCAGAGCGTAGCCAGAGTAGTGTATCTAGGCTGTGTACCTAGGCTATGTACCTAGGCTGTGTACCTAGGCTGTAACAGAGTATCAGGACTGTTGGAGTGTTGTATTGTAATAAAAAGGTTACCTCTACAAGTGTCTCCGGAACCCATTACACCCGTGTACAGGAGCCTAACATGCGAGATGAAGGCCAGGCCGAAGCCGAGCAACGTCTGTCCAGGTACTCATGGCTCACCCGGTCAAAGGCCTTCTCCTGATCCAAAAAGAGGTGGGCCTAGTCCATGTTATGCGCTTCTGCAAGGGAGACTACGTCTCTGACCGTACCGATGTTGTTGTATATGCACCGGCCGGGGATGCAATACGACTGTTCCAACATGATCAGCTGACCCAGCGCTGTCTTGAGACGGTTTTCCAGCACCTTGGAGAAGATTTCATAGTCGGCGCACAAGAGGGAGGACACGGGTCACCAATTCTCGACGAGGCGCAGGTCCCCCTTCTTGGGTAGCAGGGAGACTACCGCTCTCCTGCAGCTCTGTGGGAGTTCACCCTTCTGCAGGCCTCTCCGTCAACAGTTGCAGTAGTGGAGGGCCAAGCTCCACCCCGAAGGCTGCGTGAAACTCAACCGGCAGGCCGTCAATCCCTGCTGCGAGCCCTTTCACAGCGGTGTAGAGCTCCTGCAAGGTAACGGGGCTGTCCAGACGATCCTGCTCGGGGACTTCCTAAGGTAGGGCCCCCGTTCAGTAGCTCCTGGACAGCCTCGTCGTGTATGGTTTCGGTGACGAAAAGTTGCAAGTAGAAACCCCTGGCGGTCTTGGCGATCTCGCTCTCAGATGTGGCTGTTTGTCCATTTGGGGTTCGCAAACTGGAAATTGTGTTGGTGTTGGCCAGCGCTTTGTTTAAGCGGAAGAAAAACTTAGAGGGAGAGTCTGGCGAATTGCCCGATGATGCTGGATGCAATTACGTCGTACTCAAATTGTAAATGTTGTGGTTTCACACTTCAACACACCAGTGGGCTAAAGCAGTGAACTATTTGTCTTTTGTCAACGTGACACTTTTTTACTGATTGGCCGTGTCGGGTGGTGGAGGGTTACGACAAATTTATAAATAACGCGATCTAAACCCAAAAACATTGATTATGAATAATATTGGTCGCGAAAACCTACGTGTTAAACTGAGGGAGAGTCCATCTGCGACAGGTGCTGCATCGTTTTTCACACAAAAGTACGATGTTCCTGCTCGTTCGTGATGGACCTGAAAAGTCGCTGCATCTCCAGTAGCGTCTCACCCTGCTCTGTGCCTTGGGATGAGCTCAGCTCCGCCTCTATCGCCAACAACTCGTTCTGCAGTTGGCGCGCCACTTCGTTCTTGGTGGCGGCGTGCTGGCTCAAGAACTGCTGACAGAGAGCCCTGACCTGCGCCTTTGTGTTGTCCCACCATAGCTGGTGGGAGCTGAAGCTTCTTTTGGCAGGCAGCCACCGAGCCCAAAAGGCTTTGAAGGTTTCCCTGAAGTTCGTTGAGTCTCCAGTAGGCGCTGTGCTGCTCCGCTCTGGGAATTCGCAGTAGCATAGAGACCAGGTGGTGATCGGAAAACCCGGAGGGAACGATTTTACTGTCCCCGAGCAGGTTAACGCTGCTGGCGTTGATGTACAGTCGGTCGAGCCTGGCAAGGCTTATCCTGCCTTGGAGAGCTGCAGCGGCTGGATGCTGTAGTCGCCACATGTCATGCAGATCCAGTCTTCGCACGAGGTCGACTAGCGGCCGTGCGGATTCACGTTGAGGTTCAGTGGTGTTGCTGTCGAGAGCTGGGTCGAGGGTGCAGTTGAAGTTTCCGCCCACGACGGTGAGCACGTCGTCCATGTCGTCTGTCGCAAGCGCGTCCCGCAGCGCGCCGAAGAAGAGCTTCCTCTAGCGGGCCCTGCTCGGCGCGTATACGTTAAACCACCTGAGGCTGGAGTTATTCAGGACGAAGTCGACAGAAATCAAGTGACCTTTGACAATGTATTTTAAGGAGACGTTCTCTAGCGCAAACCACGAACTGAGCACAATCGCCGCGCCGGCGAGGTTGTCCTCGGCGTGGCTGAAGGAGGCCCGGCCGCCTAGAAAAGGCTGGCGTTGAGCCTCCAGAGTGGCGTCGAGGTGAGTTTCCTGGAGGAGAGTCACATCTGCTTTGTGTTCCCCAACAAAGCGGCAGATCTGGTCCCAGCTCTTGTCGCTGCGAGTGCTGTTACAGTTCAGGTGACGAGGTTGAAGCCGTCGTCATCCTCGTCGTCGGTCGGCAGTTTTGCGCGACCGGCCGCCGACTCAGCGGCGTGCCGCTGCACAGGCTATGGCGGCTGCTGCTGCTGTTGCTCCTGCTGCTGTAGCTGCTGCCTCTGTCGGTGCTGCTGAGGCTGTGGCGGCTGCTGCTGCGTGATGTTAGTTGCAGGCTGCAGGTTTTTTTCTTTTGGTTTGCCCGTGCAGTTTGCACGGGCATGGCCGAAGCCACTGCACATGTAGCAGCGTGGCAACGCGGTCGACGCGTACATGGTGTAGGTGTTGCCTTCCGTCGTGTACTTAAAATTCACATTAAATTCACGTGCACCAGTTCTGTGTCCAATGTGTGCAAGGGCAGCATGATGATGCGGGACACAATTCTGCCGAACCGCTCAAGGTCTCGTTGTAGGTCAGCAGTTTTGAGGAAAGGAGGGCAGTTGGAGAAGAGCACTTTTTGCGCAGGGGAGGTGTGCATTGCACAAATATCTCCCCCTTAAAGGTGAGCCCCGTGGCAATGACTAACAGAGTGACAGAGAGAGGGAGAGATAGGGAGAGATAGAGAGAGATACAGAGAGAGAGACAGACAGAGAGATAGGGGGACAGACAGGGACATACCTGTGTTAGGATTTCCCGTAGTGATGAAGTTTACAACGGAGTTGACTCTGCTATCAGCTAAGTGTGGTCTGTAATCAGTGATACCGTCCGGACCTACAGAGAAACATTACATTATTAATATTGAGTGGGTGAGTGGGTGAGTGAGTCGGTGAGTGGGTGAGTGATAGACTGAGTGAGTGGGTAGGTGATTGAGTGGGTGGATGAGTGGGGAGTGAGTGGATGGGTAAGTGAGTGATTGGGTGAGTGATTGAGTCATTGAGTGAGTGGGCGAGTGAGTCGGTGGGTGGGTGATTGAGTGATTGGATAAGTGAGTGGGTGAGTGAGTGGGTGATTGTGTGGGTCAGTGGGTGGGTGAATGAGTGATTGGGTGAGTGAGTGGGTGATTGTGTGGGTGAGTGGGTGGGTGATTGAGTGGGTGAGTGGGTTATTGAGTGAGTGGGTGGGTGATTGAGTGATTGGGTGGGTGAGTGAGTGAGTGAGTTCATGGGTGAGTGGGTGGGTGAGTGTGTGGGTGGGTGATTGGGTGTGTGGGTGATTGAGTGAGTGTGTGGGTGAGTGGGTGGGTGGGTGAGTAGGTGGGTGGGTGAGTGGGTGAGTAGGTGGGTGGGTGAGTGGGTGGGTGAGTGGTGAGAAGATGCATGAGTAGGTGAGTGAGTGAGTGGGTGACTGAGTGAGTTAGTGATTGAGTGGAGAGTGGGTGGGCGGGTCATTGAGTGATTGGGTGAGTGAGTGAGTGAGTGGGTGAGTTGGTAGGTAGGTGGATGATTGAGTGAGTGGGTGAGTGAGTGTTTAGGTGAAGGAGTGAGTGGTTGATCGAGTAGTGGGTGAGTGGTGAGCGAGTGGTAAGTGGTGAGTGAGTGAGTTGGTGAGTGAGTGAATGAGAAGTGAGTTAGTGGGTGGCTGAGCGAATTGGTGCGTGGGGGAGCGGTGATTGATTGGGTGGGTGATTGAGTGAGTGGATTCTTGAGCGAGTTGATAAGTGGGTGAGTGAGTGGGTGAGCAAGTGAGTGGTGAATGGGTGAGTGAGTGGCGGGTGAGTGCATGAGTGACTGAGTCGGTGAGTGAGTGGTGAGCGGGTGGGTGGTGAGCAGGTTGGTGGTGAGTGACTGGGTGAGTTGGTGGCTAAGCGAGTGAGTGGTTGGATGAGCGAGTGAGTGGGTGTGTGAGTGAGTCAGTGGGTGGGTGAGCGAGTGGGTGATTTAGCGATTGTGTGGTGATTGTGTGAGTGAGTTACTGAGTATGTGCGTGCGTAAGCGAATGGTAGAGTGAGTGAGTAGTGAGTAAGCAAGTGAGTGGGTGAGTGAGTTGGTGGCTGAGCGAGTGAGTGGTTGGGTGAGCGAGTGAGTGGGTGTGTGAGTGAGTCAGTGGGTGGGTGAGCGAGTGGGTGATTTAGCGAGTGGGTGAGTGGTGATTGTGTGGTGATTGTGTGAGTGAGTTACTGAGTATGTGCGTGCGTAAGCGAATGGTAGAGTGAGTGAGTTGTGAGTAAGCAAGTGAGTGGGTGAGTGAGTTGGTGGCTGAGCGAGTGAGTGGGTGATTGTGAGTGGGTGCGTGGGTGCGTGGGCCAGTGAATGAACGAATGGGTGAGCGAGTGAGTGGCTGAGCGAGTATGTCGGTCATTGTATGAGTGACTGAGTGAGTGAGTGGTGGGTCAGTGAGTCAGTGGTGAGTCATTAGTGAGTGAGTGGTGAGTGAATCACCTGTGTACAAGACTCCAGCTATCGGTGATGCATTCCTCGTTCTTCTGGCCATCACTCTACAGACAAAGACAAATCTGCTCCAGGTAGCCTAACAGGGCTGTAGGGGCAAGTGCTGTTACACAGACCCAGCTGCAGACAAAGCTACCTACCTGCAGATAGCCTCTAGCAGGCTTGTAGGGCAAGTGCTGTTAGTAGTAAGTAGCAGCACCGATGAAGGCTACCGACACTGTGGCACACACAGAGGGGGTGGGTGGCCAGCACCACGCCCGGCCGCCTTTGTCTCCCCAGTGGCGATGTTTAGTACACCACCATCACACCTACTCACCGTCTCACCAACCCACCCACTCATTCAACCACTCACGAACCCACTCACTTACCCACCCATGCACCCACTCACTCAATCATCCACTCATCCACTCACCAACTCTCCCAGACTCGCACACACACAAACTCAGACACACACATACAGAGACTCACGCACATACACAGACTCATTCATTCACACACACACACAGACTCACAACACCAACCTCCATTCGCCACTAAGTGGCAGTGACATCACCATGGCGGTTGTGCCAGGCTATGTGCACCTTGAGGCCACGTGAAGTGTCGAACGCCCACTGGCAGGAGGTCACGGGGCAGACCCAGGTGCCATGGATCGACTGACTGGCTGATGCACCACCTGTGCCCCCTACTGTGCCAATTTGCTGTGTTTTATCCGCCCAGCGCCCCGCTCATTGTTGTGAGTCGCTCCTCTGCCCTCCGTTATTGTTGGAGGGCGACTGCCTCCAACTGCCCAGTAGCAGCGTCTTTCACGAACCTCTCCACAGAGTCCGATTTTGACACTGCTGGTACCAGTAATCGGGAAGTCCACTCAGCTCCACATCCTCTTGTACCATATCACTCCATGTTTTCTCTAGCCTGTGCCGTGGCCATCTAGCACCCTCTATCCGGCCAAATAAAAGCTGTTTAGGCATGCGGTGGCTGGGCATGTGGGCTACATGACAAAGCCATCACAGCCTTGCCTGCCGGCGGAGATCACCGATGGGAATTTGTCCAGATCTTTCAAGGATGTGTGAACTCCTCACACAATTCAGCCTGATTCTTGACCGCGGGCCATTGAGGCAGATTCCATCTTCTCAGCAACCCATGACCACCACCCATCCTTGTAGCACCTCACGGCTCTCCGAACCTCTGAGTGAAGGCTGCAGTAAGCCTCCTCATTCTCTGATGTGGGATGCTGTAGACGATGAGAGTGGGCCTGTTGCTTTTTCTCAGCCAGCTTGAACGCCATCGCAGCTGCATGAGCCACAATCCAAAACTTCACCCATGTCCTCTAGACATCAGAAGTGGCGGACGATGCCAATCCCAGCTGCAAGCGATGCTGAAATTTTTGCTTGCAACTTTTATCGCTAGCTGAGACCATGCCACTAAGGGTTTGAATGGTGTCCTGGTTGTGCACCCACCACCAGAGTGGAAGAATGGCAGGCGTATCTTACAGATGACAAGTCGATGGTCAGTGGGCAGATCAGCTCCACGGTAGGTCCTGGTGTCAAGGACATGGGCTCGCATCCGCTGTTATGTCACTATATAGTCCAGCAGATGTTCTTTCTTGGACCCTGCATGCATCCACTATATTGTGTGGATACGCTGATGCTGGAACAGCGTGTTGGGAATTACAAGCCCATGGGCTGCACAACGTTTAGCAGCCTCCTACTGTTGTTGTTGAGCTGATCTGGCCAATGCCTGCCAATCACTCCAGACCAGGTGCCAGCATCATGACCAACTCAGGTATTAAAGTCACCCAACAGGATGACTATATCCCGAGGGGCCACTTTAGCTAGCACCTGTGAAAGGAAGGCATCTGACTCATCGGCCTTACCTGCATCCCTCCACTGATGGGGGCATAAGTAACCACGATCACCACTCCTCGCCTCTAGTTGATGGGAAGTGAGCCCAAAGTAGCCTGGGGCTTACAGCTTCAAACACCTCACTGCCATGCTCCCATGCCCCATTCATTATTTTGTTCAGAAGAGCCAATCCTTGTTGTATGGCGGTCTCCTGACACAAGTAGAGGACTGTTCACCCCTGATGGTGACAGGAGCCAGAGCCGGTCCACTGGACCACCTGAATATCAGAGATCCAGGCGGTACCGGTCCAGCTCCCAACAGAGGAGTGCAGCCTCTCCTCCACAGTGAGCGTTTGAACATTCCACATGGCCACCTGCAAAGGCTTTGTGCTGTTTCTGGAGGAATCCAGAGGGTAAGGATTCAATATCCTGGGCTCCGCCAAATTGGGTTTGGCCAGGAGAAGTCATTGACGCCTGATCCCCCGGGGCCTCAAGCACAAGCTTTGTTTGATCTTTTGTTACATTGTTAACGCAGACACTCACACTCGCAGACGCGGGGAGAAAGACACGGGGAGAGAGAGAGACACGGGCAGAGAGAGAGACACGGTGAGAGACACGGGGAGAAAGAGACACGGGGAGAAAGAGACACGGGGAGAGAGACACACAGGGAGAGAGACACAGGGAGAGAGAGAGACACGGGCAGAGACACGGGGAGAGAGAGCCACGGGCAGAGAGACACACGGGGAGAGAGAGACACGTGGAGAAAGAGACACGGGGAGAAAGAGACACGGGGAGAGAGACACACGGGGAGAGAGACACACGGGGAGAGAGACACGGGCAGAGAGAGACACGGGGAGAAAGACACACGGGGAGAGACACACGGGGAGAGAGAGACACGGGCAGAGAGAGACACGGGCAGAGAGAGACATGGTGAGAGAGACACGGTGAGAGAGATACAGGGAGAGAGAGACACGGGGAGAGAGAAACACAGGGAGAGAGACACGGGGAGAGAGATACACGGGGAGAGAGAGACACGGGCAGAGACACGAGGAGAGAGACACGGGTAGAGAGAGACACGGGGGGAGAGAGGGACACGTTGAGAGAGAGAGACACGGGAGACAGACATGGGGAGAGAGACACGGGGAAAGAGAGACACGGGCAGAGAGAGACACGGGGAGAGAGAGATACGGGGTGACACGGGGAGAGAGACACGGGGAGAGAGAGACACGGGGAGAGAGAGACACGGGGAGAGAGAGACACGGGCAAAGAGAGAGACAGGGGAGAGAGACAGGGGAGAGAGACAGGGGAGAGAGACACGGGGAGAGAGAGACACGGGGAGAGACACGGGGAGAGAGACACGGGCAGAAAGAGACACGAGGAGAAAGAGACACGGGGAGAAAGAGACACGGGGAGAGAGACACGGGTAGAGAGACACGGGCAGAAAGAGACACGGGGAGAGAGAGGGACACGCTGAGAAAGAAACACGGGTAGAGAGAGAGACACGGGCAGAGACAGACACGGGGAGAGAGAGAGACACGGGGAGAGTTTTAGTTATGATGATAATTAATTACTCATTCACTTACCTCCACCACCCAAACCTCAAGTGGTGTTTGTGTGTCTGTGTGTTTCTATTTGTCTATGTGTGTGTCTGTCTGTGTGGCTGTATGTTTCTATTTGTCTGTGTGTGTGTCTATGCGTAAGTGTGTCTGTATGTCTCTGTGTATCTGTGTATTTGTGTTGTGTTTTTGTGTGTCTCTGTGTCTGTGTGTGTCTGTCTGTGTCTGTATGTCTCTGTGTCTGTCTGTGTATTTGTTCGTCTCTCTGTGTGTGGAGTGCCTCTTAGTTTGAGTTGGTTAAACACCCCCAGAATGGCAACTCGGCGTTGCTAGGACGTTCAGTGCCATAGAAACTACAACCCACACAGCCACACACACACCCTGTCTCTCCCTCTCCCCGTGTCTCCCCCCCTCTCCCTCTTCCCCCTCTCCCCCTCTCTCCCCCTCTCCGCTTTCCTCCCCCCTCTCTTCCCCGCTCTCCTTTAAGATCATAGGAAAATAAAAAAGATGTTCGGTTTCTTCGGCACTTTGCTTCGGTCATTATGCCGTTTTTCACCATCATCACACGCCATCAATCATCATCACCACCACTACCCAACCATCATAACCAACACCCATTACCCTTCATCATCGCCACCACCCATCAATCATTATTACCACTTCCACCACCATCCATCATCATCACAACCCATCACCACCACCAATCATCATTACCACTACCACCACCACCCATCATCATCACAACCCATCATAAGCACCACCCATCATCATCACCATCACCCATCATCATCACCACCACCCATCATCAGCATAAACACCCATCATCATCAACCACCTATAAAAACCACCATCAGCGTCAACACTATTGTATAAATGGGGTCTTTATTTTTGTTAAAATTATGATAATTAAGCTCTGCCTCGTTGCCTAGGGTTTTATTATCAATCGGGATAATACAATGAATTGTATGAAGTTATGAAAGTGTGATGTAAGTATGCTGATTAAGCTCGGCTTCGTTGTCTAGGGTTGTATTCATATTCTTGGTTCTTTAGGTAAAGTCACGTCGGTAGAGTCACGCAGAAGGGAAATAATAAAAAAAATATTTCTATTAACCAAGAATATGAATCCCTGCAGTCACGAAAGCTTTGAATCAAAATTTAGGGTTGTATTATCAATCAGCTTTAACTTTTACTGATTATGTCTTCGTGTTTTATGTTAGGTCTCAAGATTCAGATTTCACCGCAGGATATAGTTCTAATTAATTAAGATTATTATGCATAAACTTAGGAAGGCATCACTCAGACACTTGTGTTAAGCAACTTTAATCTCTAAACAAAAACATAACACTCTAATAATCAAACTCTTATGCTTGGAATGTTAACACAGTACTCTTGGAGATGTCCTCCTCATTGCTCCGTACATTTAACCCTCAAAGATTACGTTTGTTAAACTGGGTAACAGAACAATCGGTTAATTCCTCAGAGTAAAGCGAGCATTCACGGCGATGGGAAAAAGTCCTTACAAATTAATGTGACAATATCCATACGAAAAGCAATCAAAAAACATGTTCCGAAAGCAAAAGTAGACCTCAATGAATTGATTGGTAAGATTATGCAGTGTGCCTGTCTGTCTAGCCAATGCTTATCAATTGGCTAAGGCTTCAATAAATTCGCGGGCAGGATTCTGTGATTAAAAGAAAGATTTCAACACAAGTCTCCCTGTCAGTGTGTAGATTCGTAATGTAGGTTTCTAATGTTTCGTTTCATCAATGAATTCATTTTATCTTGGTCATGTGTGATTGACCAATTTCACCTTGTATCGCTTCTGGATGACCCTCGGTCTCATACTTTATAATTATTATTTGGTTTATGTTTATCCAAGATTCGTGATGTATCATTGTTATTACCACGTATATTCCTAGGGTTTTATTATCCTTTGTTCCCCGTCTGTATCCAGGGATCCCGTGCTGTTTATACTCGAGTTATATTTTGATATCCTGAGGTTGGAGATATAACTACGTTTTCACTTAAGCTTTCTTGACTGCTGGAATTCATATTCCTTGGTTCTTTTGGTAGAGTCACGTAGATAACAAGATTCAATAAGAAACAATATGAGGTGAATGACTGTAACATAAAGTAAGTAATAATGCAATGCCACTAATGTGGACTGCAGTCTGGTTTTTAATCTGGCTGAGTGTTGGCAGAATATGTCGTCGACGTATTGTCGCTAAGTTCCGAACTTTTACGGTTGTATTAAAATAAAAAAATAATTTAAAAAAAGTTGCCTGTTGTCCTCGTGGCGCCTGTTGTCTGTACGTTTTTATGCGGCCTTTGAAGCCGTGTAGAGATCTCCCCAGAATCTGTCTCGGACCACATCCGTGAGCACAAAGCAGACCTAAAACACGATAGGACCAACACCTCAGCCGTGGCAAGACCACTGTTATAATTCAGTGGGCTCACATGACATTGACTTCTCCAAGACAGAGGTTCTCTGCAAGCCATCTGGCTACCATGAGAGATTCGTTCATGAGGCTATCCGCATATACAGAGACAATTTCAACCGAGAAGATGGATTCTGGCTTAGCAAACATTGAAAGGATTTGATAAACCATTTCGGGTCTTAATTGATTGTGTTCACGTTTAGTGACTTTCAGACCGCATTCTATTCTCCTTCTCTCCCCCTCCTCCGTTCGAGCATAGATGGACTCGTCCATCTGGCCAACTGGCAAATCGCTGTTCGTGGTGCTGACGTTAAGAAAAAAACTCCACTTTTTTTCAAATTGTATTGCTGTGGTTTTCACACCTATGATTGCTTGTGTTGCAATCGAAACGTCGTGATTAATTTATTATTTTATTTTATTATTTCCCTTCTACGTGACTTTACCGAAAGAACCAAGAATATGCCTACAATTATTGTGTTCTGATTACTGGCACAATTGTGCACTACATTACATGTATTGAATGTGATTCAACACTGGGGAGGAGTCTGCCTTTAAGTTCAGACCCCAGCTGCTGCCATGTGTCTCCAATCTGTGCAGTCACATGGGTGGCATCGCTGACATCAAGTGACCTACAAAGTCATGCTTGGGTTATAACAAATAATTTAAGTATGGTCATATGACCCCAATGACCTACAAGGCATAAGGGGGCCTTTATCAAGCAGTCGATTAATACAAATGGGCTGTACATCAACATGCATGTCTGGATTAGAGGTTAAACATCATTAATAGTTTTTCCACTTTTTTCTGGCAACAAAACAGGTGTTAAGATGTAAAAAAAAACTGAAACCTATCACAAGGAATCATGTCTGCATTTTAACATCTTAACACCTGTTTTGTTGCCAGACAAAAAGGGGAACACCCTATTATCATATTTTGGTACTGGCAAAGGAGATCCCATGATGTTAAATATCATTAAGTCTGGCGATTATGTTTAATATAATAGGCCGTTCGGAACAAACATGTTGGGTGTGGGTGGATGAGTGAGTGATCGGATGCATGCAGGAGTGGGCAAACAAGTAAGCGAGTGGGCTTGAAAGCAACAGGCACGAAATTGGGTTGGTACAGTTGTAGAGGTGATCGCCACTCACCATTCAGTAACCTGCAGTACCACTGAGTGTCAATGGGGTGCCTGAGGTCAAACAGAGGTGAGAGCGGATCAAAACACCAATTCCTGCTAGGGGAAATTCCCAAGGTCAGAGAAGGTGAAACGGATCAGAACGACGGTTTGAGAAGGACCAATCAGAGGGTTCGGGAAAGACCAATTAGAAGGTTCCAAAAAGAGGCGTGGCTGGGACGGAGCCAGCCACGAACCTGTATAAAAGCCAGAGCGCTGGGAGCTCGAGTTCGTTCTCCCCACACGAAGACCGAAGCCCGGGCTGAAGATCAAATAGGACCCTGGAACCAAGCCTTGCAGCCCTTCAAGGGCTGACGCTCAGTGTGACCAGGGGTCGGGACCCACAGACCCAGTGGTCGGGTCAGTTAGCCTCCCCTAGGTCCCAGCCGGAGGACGTTAGGTTAGCTGGTAACCCGTGAGTAGGTCCCGCCAAGTCCGGAGGCCATACCTCCCTAGGTATCGGGTGAGGAGATCGTATTACCCCCTATGTGTGTTAGGGACCATGTCGGAAGAAAGACAATAAACAGTGCGCCTCACAAAGAAGTGTATTCGTCCGTAATTACAACACTCCACAGCGAGTAAATACCTTGTCTGTGCGAACTTTCATGGCGAATAAAACCCTTTCTGATTCTGAGTGGTCAAATATGTAATAAGTGAGAGGATGAGCGATTCAAATTTTTGCTAATTCTGAGCATTGTTCCAACCTCCCCAGGCCGTCCAACTTCAAACAGAATCTACTCCTTCCCAACATGGACAGCTAAATCAAGTGGGCTGAGATCTTGGATGACTGAGTATAAGTCCCAGATACCTGCATCACATGGTATGTATACAGAAGAGGTTCCTTGATCAATTACTTTTAGTAGACATGGCTTGGTGGTGATGGGAAGACGTAATGATTGAGTGTGGCAGAGGATGGGTTTAGACCTGAGTTTATTGAAACTGGGGTCTCAAGCTTATGGAATTGGTCTCAACATGGCCAGAAAAACATGACTTGTAAAGGTTCACTTCCATGTGATGAATATTTCTCAAAAGCAGGTTCTGTTGTGTGGTAAGATGTAATTATAGGGATCTTAAAATTGGTTCTGTGAAACTCCATGTCCTTTGTTCTCTAATTCATTACTCGTCCTTTGAATACATTTTCTGTTCTTCGTAGACCGGGAGTCGTTGTGCCAGTCGACCACGTGGGGGAACATTATGGATAAAGTGGACACTTTCCCAGGCCAAAGTTACAAGCATCGCTCCACAAAAGGTGTGTATGGGGTCTTTGGGGGTCAAACACATTCTCTTCAAAACTAGCACATCGTGTCACCACACCAAAATATCTCTCCACATCACCCTTTTCATCACACCACCACCAATTAAATACACCAAAGCCTCATCATGTGTCTATACCATCACAAGACACCATCTCTCTTGAGCATTCCACTACTTCGCCTCGCCATATAACAACACCATCTCCCGACACCATCACCCAATCTCTCCACAATCCCACTCGTGCAATTACTTGAAGTGGCCATTTATTACCAACTAGCGGGAAGTACCCCGTGTTGCCCGGGGGAAAAAAATGTAAGTTTTGTACCAGTTTAAAGGGTAAAAACCTACTACTGTATTATGGTTATTGCTTGACTTGCATCCCACCGGGAATTTTGCACACAGTGTTGATAGTGTTTTTTCTGGAAGACTTTGCTGTTTTTTCCTGG